GCTTTCACTACCCTCATTTCTCCTGCCATCAATTAAGGAATCAAATTAACACCTAAAAAATGGATTATTAATGTGTTTTACTTTGCGAAACATTTTGATTATTATCAATCCCTTTAATGGTCTAAATCTAATCAAAAGAATGGGCCAATTTGAATCATCCACTACTTATTATTCTCCCTTCAAAAGACATGTGGTACAGTGGTCAAACATTGTGGCTGGCTCCTGGCTGAAGTGGATGCACATTTGGAGTAGGTTTTTTTCCTTTTTAAATTTCTTTTTAAGTATTTTAAAAAATAGCTGAGTTTAACTCAACTTCAACTTTCACTGAATGTGAGATTGTATCCCACTCCTCACCATAAAAGAAAGAGTGCTGGTTAATTTCTAGTGCATGTTAAAGCTAGCACATTGGAATATGTATGTGGAAAGCACTTGAAAAGGCTGGATTAATGTTTGAGGCAAAACTTAATGTATCATCCCGAATCTTATATTATAATGAAAATGTGAGTAAGTTTAGTATATAAGGGTAAGCACCAGCTATCATTAATAATGTGAGTTTAAATTTTTAAAGGTCTATAGATTTTAACTTGAAGAATTATTAACTCAATAATAAGTCTTAGTCCAAATCATTTCAGTTAGTGTCAGAGATATGCCATTTTTCAGAGTTAGGGGAGATCATAACACTCTAAATTCTACATTCTACAGCAGGTGGAAATCAGCGTCAACTTCGGTCTGAGTCGTTTTATCTAAATAATTGCAAGGTAAAATTTGGCCCTGTCACGTAAGAGAACGGCCATCTAAAATGGCGAACCATGTGCGGAAATGCGACCCACGTGGAACATGGGCATGCGTGTGGGTATCTCTTCCATATTAACTTTGTCTTCTGTTCTGTTGGACCCTTTTCTGTTTCTGTTTAATTACTGTTTTTGGAAAGGTACAGTCACAGGCCATGATAGCTTACAGAATAGGAAACTACCGACCAAAAACAAGTCCCATTCACATACGAAATTGGAAAAACTTGATAAAATACAGTATAAAGATAGCAAAAGTATCGTGCCATTTCCTGAGTGGTTCTTTAGAGGCGGAAATGAGCTGTGAGGGCGACACAAATTGCTGGCTTATTACTTACTGAGCTGCACCGTCGATTGCCTCCGTCACCAGCTGGAATTCTTTATTCTGATCAAATGTGTGCAAGTTTTCTCCACAGCTTATGTAAATATGTAATATATATGGTGCTCTATTTTGCTACTTTGATAATTCAAAACCCTCGCAGTGGAGCAGATAGCTGTATGTTCGCGTTTGGTAATGAAGTTTAGATTAATTAAGTTATTGGCATGCATGTCAAATAAGATTCTGTCTTAATAATTAAGTTCAATCTTATCTTGTAATCGTATTTCATAATCCCTTATGACATATGGAGACGTGAATTTTTAAGTCAACATGCATATAAAAAAGGTTATGGAATATTTATGGAAAG